CCCCCCCAACCAAATGTGTTTTTTTACATCATAATGACACTGTGTAAGACGTCTACCTGTCAAAGACAACGACTTTTCTCCTCAGTAATGGATGGCCATCTTCAACAATTTCAATAATTCTATGTCAAGCTAGGACTGAATGAAGTCAGGCAGTCTTTTTCACTCCAAACTAAAGCCTTCCATCACAACTATTACTTATATTTTATTTCTTTCTAGGTAAGAAACAACAATCACAGACTACTCACTCAGCCCCTGCACAAAGGCGGTCATGTGTTTGATGAGGTGGCCCGTGATGGAGCGGGGCATGGTGGTGTTGTTGTGCATCCAGGTCAGCTCGTAGCGGATCAGCTGCCCGTTGAGTCGCACAGGGGGCTCCCAGTTCACGTAGAACGAGTTCGACTGCCGGTTGCTGATGTGGGTGATGCGGGGTTTGGACGGGACTGAGAGGGGAAAAAAACACCACAAAATACTAAAAACATTTGAAGAGATATCGGAAGTCACTGTTCAAGTCTCAAAGAAAAGAAGTAGGACCTATCAGTGGCACTCTCCAGCCACTTAACTTTTGGTAAACTACTATTCATACATATCTAAAGCCTATGCAACTGAACATCCAATTACAGGATTAGAAATACAGGCTCTTCATTAACTGTCAACAACAAGGATGATGGAGGCTCATGACCTTAAATGTATGGAACCAATGGCACTCACTGATGATACTGTTAAGTAATGTTAATGCCATACAGTTTCAAATGTTTCTCTTCTTCCATACAATATTAATAATGATGATAATGATGATGATGATGATAACAATGACGAAGATGAGGATGATGAAGATGATGAGGATGATGAGGAAGAGAATGATAATAATGACCATAAATACACAACTGGGGGAAAAAAAGCAAATCTCTCTTTCAAAACAAAGAGTAAAAAGAAAAAGTAAGACAGACAGACAGACAAAAATATCGTAGGAAACAGAAAGAAGAAGGAACTACCAGTGGCATCAGCCAACCAGCTGCAGACACAAAGGCACAAATGTACAAGGATACAAAGACAAAAAGGCACAAAGACACAAAGATACAGGGACAAAATGACACAAAATGAGGACAAAAGGACACAAAGACACAGGGACAAAAGGACACAAGGGCACAAAGACATAAGGACATAAAAACATAAGAACACAAGGACAAAAGGAAACAAAGACATATAGACAAAAACACAAGGGCACAAAGACACAAGGACAAAAGGGCACAAAGACACAAGGACAAAAGGGCACAAAGACACAAGGACAAAAGGGCACAAAGACACAGGGACAAAAGGGCACAAAGACACAAGGACAAAAGGGCACAAAGACACAAGGACAAAAGGGCACAAAGACACAGGGACAAAAGGGCACAAAGACACAGGGACAAAAGGGCACAAAGACACAGGGACAAAAGGGCACAAAGACACAAGGACAAAAGGGCACAAAGACACAGGGACAAAAGGGCACAAAGACACAGGGACAAAAGGGCACAAAGACACAAGGACAAAAGGGCACAAAGACACAAGGACAAAAGGGCACAAAGACACAGGGACAAAAGGGCACAAAGACACAGGGACAAAAGGGCACAAAGACACAAGGACAAAAGGGCACAAAGACACAAGGACAAAAGGGCACAAAGACACAGGGACAAAAGGGCACAAAGACACAGGGACAAAAGGGCACAAAGACACAGGGACAAAAGGGCACAAAGACACAAGGACACAAGGACACAAGGACACAGGGACAAAATGGTACAAAGACATAAGGACATAAAAACAAAAGAATACAAGGACAAAAGGAAACAAAGACACAAGGGCACAAAGACACAGGGGCAAAATGACACAAAGACATAAGGACATAAAAACAAAAGAATACAAGGACAGAAGGAAACAAAGACACAAAGACAAAGACACAAGGGCACAAAGACACAGGGACAAAATGACACTAGGACATGAGGACATAAAGACAAAATAGCACAAAGACACAGGGATCCTCAGACACTCACCCCCTTCCTTTGTCTGCACCATCTGGGCCTCTTCGGGCCCCGGCCCTGCACTGTTGTAGGCTTTGATGAACACCCGGTACATAGTGAATGGATGCAGGCCTTCCAGGGTTGTGTTCTGAAAAAATAGGTTATCAGTTTTGAAAATAAAGAACATTTGGTGGTTTGGGGTAAAAAATGAGTGTAAAGGCTAATTATAATATTATAAGCGTCCCAACCCCTTTGGTGTTATCGTAAGTCCTACATTTCAGTTTCCTTTTCAGTAAAGAAGAACAAATTGATACGAGAACAGTCATTACGTTCTGGTAAAGAGTGAGAAAAACACTGTATTAAACTGACTAGGAATACCATGTCCTTTACCATGAGAAATCTTAAATCTGCGCAAGTAGTAATAATAATAAATAATAATAAATAGCATTTATACTGCGCATTTCCATTTCCTAAAAGATGCTCAATGCGCATTACAATGAAAAAGACATCACATCTTAAAAATTAATCGACACAAATGTGTACGTAAAACAAAGTATTATACATATAATATAAATGCATATGTGTAAAATTTTATACCAGAAAAACAGTCTCGCAGTGAGGTTGAAAATGTGTTCACTAAAAATATACAATGCAATATAAATTCACGAACAGTCAAAATACAGTTGAAACGTGAGTAACTAGAAACATTCATTAAAACATTAATTCTATACAAATAGAAAAACATTTCCGCTCTATCTCTATCTCTCTCTCTCTCTCTCTGTCTGTCTCTCTCTCTCTCTCTCCCTCTCTCTCTCTCCCTCTCCCTCTATCTCTCTCTCTCTCTCCCTCTCTCGCTATCTCTCTCTTTTCTCTCTCTTTTCTCTCTCTATCTCTCTCTTTTTCTCTCTCTCATTTTCACTCGCTATTTCTTCAGTCTCACAGTCTGGCATACACATGCATATATATCACAGTACATCATTATGACAGGTATGCTTTTGTGAATAAAAAATGCTTCAGCTGATTTTTGAAAATGGAAATTGTTGGGGCAGATCTTATTTTATATGGGATTTCGTTCCATACCTGGGGACCAAAGAACAAAAAGGAACGCTCGCCGTATGTTTTGGAGTTTTGTTTTGGAGTTTTAAGAATTAGATTGTCAGAGGCTGATCTAAGGGCTCTAGGTGGATTATATAATTCCAGGAATGTTTTAAGATAAAAAGGTGCACTATCATTTATACATTTAAAACAGAGAACGGCAGTTTTGTATTTAATCCTTTCTTTTATTGGCAGCCAGTGTAGTTCTTTCAGAATTGGTGTTACGTGGGCTGATTTCTTTTGTTTCATTATCAATTTTGCTGCTTGATTTTGAAGTAGTTGTAACTTTGATAGTTTTTCGGATGTCAAACCGGACAAAATAACATTACAGTAATCTAACTTTGATAAAATGAGTGTTGTTACAAGTGTCTTGGCTGCTGCTTTAGTTAAATAATTTCTTACACTGCCAATTTTCTTAAGCTCAAAGTAAATACTTTTGCTGAGCTGGCTTATTTGGGAGGACATAGACATATCATAATCCAACTGAACCCCTAGATTTTTAAGACTTCTTTTTGAACGAATGGTATGGTTATTAATATCAATTTGTAGCTCTGGGAGATTTTTAATGGCTTTTGTATTTCCAATCAACATTATTTCCGTCTTGTCATCATTTAGTTTCAATTTATTGCTGGTCATCCATATTTTTAAATCTCTAGTACATTGTTCAGTAGAGTCGACTAAAAGTGGTATTTGATCGAAATCAATAGACTTATAAATTTGAGTGTCATCAGCATAAAGATGGTAATTCATGCCATATTGTCTTAAAATATCAGACATAGTCAAGTTATAAGAAAAGAAAGATGCATATCTGCATTTTTTAACTAAAGACACTCAGCGTTAGCTCTTGTTAATGATCAAGAGAAAGTTACTCTGTGTTTGTTAATGAATCATGCTGTGTCTGTGGCAGCCTGCATACAACTAAGAAAGATATATTATGCCTTTTTTTTTTAAAACATAAAACTGGGTAAATGCATGGGTAGAGATTAACTTCTCGTATGGAATAAAAATACTAACAGCTAACACATTCATTATTAGCTTTTGTGTCAGAAATATGCGCAGACACTTATGAATGTAAAGAAATCAGAACATTTTCAGTTATTGCAAATGGTCATAGAAACAAAAACAAAAGCTGTAAATGTCTGGAGCTGATTCGGAGTCACAGGAAAGCTAGAAATTATTCTTATAACCCAATTATGAGAAGCCATCCCTGTTATTCAGTCAACTTACAAAATCTAAACTTAGCGTTTTAAGAAAAGTAAGGAATTTCTGGACAGTAACAGATACTGCTCGTGCATTGCATTGTAGATGTACTCTGGCACTAAAATCGATTTGTACTTTTTCATAGATAAGCTTCTGGTAATGTTTAATAAACTTTCGAGAAAATATGCGAATATTCACGATTATATTAGGCACATAAAGTTGTATTTGGAGGAATTACTTCATAGCGAATTGCGAGCCAGATGGATAAAGTTGCAAGATTACACCTTTCTATCATATGCACAGATACAATCTTTCTGAGTATCTGCATCAATGTTATGTTGTTCATGTTCCAAAAGTCCAACAGTTTTTGTAGTGCTGGGTTTTTTTTAAATTGATTTTCTTTTCATTCACACTTGTCCAAAAAATGTTACGATTCAGCATTGCAGGCTTCAGCGCGTGTAACGAAAAAACCAGACAAGTTACAATGTCCATTCTTTTTTTTTTCACTCTAAAAAGCAGAAATGTGTACTTTGGGGGCATTAAACGATAATTACCAGAAATACAAGAATACACCTAAAACTGTACGTTGAAAAGTACCAAAAATTAAGTCAGCCCAGACAGAGCGGCGATAGGGAGCTGACCCCTACGACCCCAACGTGATCAGGCGCTCGGCGGGACCCACTGCAACTAAAATTCCACTGCCGGTGTGCCGTGTAAAGATTATTTCCATTCTCAACTCGTGGGAAGAATCTTCTCCATCACAATCAGCAGATAAACTTACAACTTTATTGGGATCCTCAATGTTGATGGTCTTGAGAACTTCAGTCCCATAATTGATTTCGTAGCCCATGAGCTGGCCATTGAGGAGGTCATCCGGTGGCCGTTCCCACTCCAGCAAGATGGCGCTGCTCGAGATGCCGGATGCCACAAAGTTGTATGGGGCCACTCCCGGAGCTGAGGAGGAGGAAAGACTGAGTCAGCATGGTTACAGGACTATAAGTGGGAGAAAGAGAGAAGGACGAAGAAAGAGAGAAAAGAAAGAAAGAAAGAAAGAAAGAAAGAAAACGTCAGAAAGAGAGGGTGGGAGAGAAAGAGAGAGAGAGAAAGTCACATGTTTACGGAGCAAGCCTTATAAAACAAAGTTGTAAAATTAAGTTTCACTTGCAGCAGTAAACAATAAATACACTGCACAATATTATGTACGCAGAGAAAGACAGAAGAGTTCTGATAAAAGCATGCAAAGTATGGAGAAAAATTACAAAGAATAAAGAGTATCTTCTGTAGCCCTTTCAGCATTTGTTTGAGTTCAGATACAAACATGAGTGGGAATAAATAATACAACAGCATCCCAAAGATTTAAAGATCTCCTGTTGTACCAGGAATTCCTCTGAAATAGTACAAATGGGGTGGGTAGGGGTGGGACGTTGATGCTGTGGAGTTGTAGTCAGAACGGGTCATAATGGTAATAACTGTATCTTGCTATGTACTGATGATCAATTTAGGTTGAAAGGAGAAGAAGAAAAAAGGAAAAAAACTGCATAAAAGAACCTACTACCCATCTGCACAGGTGGGAAGTGTGTGTGTGTGTGTGTGTG